TCCTTTTTTTTTTATTATCATCGTAATTAAGCCGATTTAAGTACTACCTTAAGGTGTTCGGCCGAAGAAGTACCGAAATTTAGGCCTGTCTAGGCCTAGTAGTAGTAGTAGGTGGATATATATTACCGCGAAGTGGGGCGGGCCGTACATGCCTTATAATTTACTAGTATACTACGTGGAGATTTTTCGATCGCCATGCAAAGTTAAAATAAAATCCCAAATCCTCCTCCTTTTTGGAATTTAAGGAAATTAATACATTTTTGTTTCTTTGTTGGATCGATTGCAGCAACCCCAAACCCAACATAACGGTATTTCACATTATAATTATAGCATTAATCATCTATAATAACTGCTACTTCCTACCCTATCGCGTTGTTTTGTTTTGGTGACAACATGGCTGGTGTAAGTCACGTGATTGAAACCGAGTTGGCCAAACTCTCTCTATCTACGGCTCTGAGCTGAGCACACACGACACTACTTCGTACTGACCGTCGACCGACGAATGGCTCTTCGCTGTGACTGTCAGTGAGCACTAGCTAGACGACGCGATGGTGTCTTGCTGATTGTAATCAAAGATAATAAATAGCTATTCTTTGTTGTAATGGCATTAAAAACGATCCGTTGTGCGCGCGTCTGCGTTGCGTTCTCTAAGAATCGCGTCTGGCTCAGTAGTGTGTGCCCGACTTTATAATACACCAAAGAGTATAAATATATTTATACTCTTTGAATACACCAACACAGTGGCCAGTTGAGTGCGTGAAGTACAAATTAAAAACAAAAGAAAATGTGTGAGAAAAAGCAACATATTTCTTATATATCTGCGAGGTAATGCACTGATTGAAGAGTCATCTAAAATCATGTTAACGTAATATTATATGCTTCCTGTACATTGTTTCATGTGTAGTTAGCTAGGCTTGCCAACATTTGGCGGCGCATTAGAGCTGTGGCTAGCTCAGAGTGGGCTTAACGCGCAGCGCGCTTGAGAATCTATCCGGTGTCAAATGAGTGTGTAATATTAATTTGAAAAGTCGAATGTTTTCATTTACATTAATTTGTTTTATTTTTTACCATTATTTTGGTAGATAGGCCTACTTAGCCCGTGACGGCTCTTGTAGCCTACCAATAAAGAATTAAATTAAATTGTTAATATGATTAGGTCTATGTAATTTGAAATATTGTAATGTCACCGTCATTCATTGAATTGATTTTTTTTTTGTATTTTCAGAATTGGCTCATTTGTTGGTAGATATCCGATAGCATGCATAATTGTGTCTATAGTTATAACTATGGGTTTTGGAGGTGGAATCGCGATGCTTAAAAACGAAAACAGACGAGAGAATCTCTGGGTACCTTCGGGATCTGACAACCAAGACTACCGTTTATACGTCACTGAATATTATAAAGATCCATTCTTTGAGACATTAATCTTTGAAAATGATAATATTTTGACACCAGAATCACTGAAGTCTGTAAGTATAATTATCGTCATTACTGTTGTTGCTATATACTTTTGAGAGTAACATTTCACCGCGCACCGGTTTAAATTTTCTTTTATGGCCTTGTCTTTTGAAATTTCCGCTATAACACTAAAATAGATATAATAATTTATTCATTCCTCAGATGCTTAAGGTTGATGAAAAAATCAAAGCAATTAATGTTGGAAGAAACTGGGAATCTATCTGTTTCAGGTATGCCAATTTTGTTTTTCTTTCTTATGTTCATTAGAAATTAAACCTGTTTTGGTTTCTGAGTTTCAATTACTGGTATTTTTAAAAAAAATAAATCGATTAAAATTTAATTGACCTACATTTTACGCAAAAAATCAGTTGTATGTGCAATATAATGGTGATTTGTACACTGTATTTATACAGTAATATATTTTTACGGAAATAGTATTACGGTGTTCCTTTACATTGTATAAATATTATACTTACCTGGATGATTCACAAAAGTATTATTGCAGTAATTAACCAACAGAGAAAGACCGATTTAAATAAGCATTCAGCTCTCGATTGTGGCAATTCAGCCAGAGGTGGATCCAGAATTTGCCGACAAGGGGTCCGACATTTCCGACAGCGGGGTCCGAAGCAAGTGGCTGACTATTTAAAGAGCCTCGATCAGGGTCCCGGAATAGAAATTCTTCGTAGAGTATTCCTATGGAGAGTTTTTGTGACTTAGAATGGCCCAAAATAATTCTGCTTTTAGACGAAAATATTATGGATTGGAAATTAAAATAACACCTTGGATAGGCAAATCGATATTTTTGGTCCGACGTCCTCATCTTGGCGGGGGGATGACGAGGAGGGGGGTCTAGGCCTGTCTGACGGGGGTGTGTGAAATATTCTCCATGCCCCCTCCCCTGCCCCCACCATCAACTTCAGCTTCCCCAAGTGCCCAGTAGGCCTAGTAATAATAATAATAGTAATAATAGTAATAATAGTAGTAATAATAATAATAATAACAAAAACAACAACAACAATTACATAACAACAATAATAATAATTAAATAATAGCACTTTCTAAATATGTGCATCATGTGCACATTCATGTGATTTCCACAATATGTACCTCAGCACCGGGGCAAGGAAACCATTTGTCTTTTCCATTGTGAATTTCTGAATTACATATTAACCTACTTCCTTCCTTTTTACACTGCAGTCTGTACTACTAATTGAGTTCCTGTAATCAATAATACCTATATGTAAACATTTTTGTTGAAAGTTGTCTAAAGTAGATGTTATGTCAGTGAAACTGCATGCACATAGCAGTGACAATGAAAAATGCATGCATGCCTTAAAATATATGCATACCTATAAATCTGGCACAAACATTTATGTATTTCTGAGTATGAAATGTGATTTTTTATCTCATCTAATTTCATATATTATTTTTCTACCTTTCTTTAATTTTGTAATATTTATTCTTATACAGTCGATTGTTATTAATTTTGTTTGTTAAATTTTACCCTTTTTATGTTTGTACGAACGCACCAATTGATACTGAGTGCCACCGATTCAAAGGTGTATGTTCAAATAAATAAATAAGTAAATTACGTAATGTATAGGTGCGACGGTGCTAAAAACTGAGATGATTTGTCTCGACATTAACCCTTGCTTTCTTTCGTTTTACGTTGATGTATGCATAGGCTCGGAGACAGCTGTTTTGTTTCTAGTATCTTAGAACTGTGGGGGTTTAATAAAACTATAATAGATGGTTTATCACAGCAGGACATTCTTGACAAGATAAATGAGCCTAATCCAATAAGGTATGGAAATATATTTTCTTCTTCCATGTTTCCGAGATATTGGCAAAACATGTTGGAATGTCACCATATTTGAAATCTCTTTTATTGCACAAAACTAACCCTTATACATAATTCTATGTTGTTATTTTCCCCATTTTTGTTAAAACAATTTTTTTAATGATTTGGTGATGGTATCTGCCTGTGAATTCCCCCAAATCGTAAAATTTAAAAGCTGATTTCTCAAATAATGCTATTTAAACAGTTGTAGTTTAAACCCCTATAACTTTACAAAGAAACGTCAGATTTGAATGATTCTTTCACAATTTTAGAACTTTTTTTTACTATTTAACACTGTATTAACAACTAAAAATCGATTATTGCAAGGAGTAACTTGGTTTGGCTGGTCTTTGCCACAATTAGAGATTGTCAAATAAGGATGATTTAAGACAGCGCTTAAAGATCATCAAATTAGGAGAAGGAGGTACTTGAGCAGATTGTGGTAGTAAATTCCAGAGCTTGGGGCTAACAAGAGAAAACGGACCTCTCTCCATAAGTCTTCAAATGACACGTAGGCACACATGAAGGGTTGTGGAAGTTGTGGACTTTAATGTCCTTTTACATAGTATCTAGAATAATTTCTTTCTTGTCTTGTAGTCTTGTGACGTTTAGGGAAGTGAATGTGGCATCAATGCTGGGTGGCGTCGATGATGAAACATACATCCGTGTTGCCAAAACAGCCGTGAGCACTTACGGCGTTATAGATAAAAGCGTATTTGATGAATCCAAAGGGAAATACGTTAGTATAAATGTTTGTATGTGTCTTACAATGTGATTAACATTGCTGTTGATGGTGGTTGTTGAGCGTGGGGAATGGTGCTGGTGGTTGTGATGTCAGCATTTTAAAAGATATTCAAGATTCAGTTCAAGAGTTTTCATATTAAAAAAAAAAGTATATCTTTGGAACATGCTCCATTGAGTTTCAAACCCAGACCTAATTACAGTTGGCTAATTTACCAACAATACCTATCAGGCCATTTTTACACTTTTACTCATTCAGTACATTTCTCTCCATTTTTTAAATCTTGTTATTCCTTGTTTTATATTCTTACCACCTGTTTTATATCGTGAAGTATTTTCTCTTCACTGGTTGTTTATTAAGATCTTGTATCTCTGAAGAATACAAAAAAAGTACAAAACTGATATAGAGTTTTATATATACTAAAATTCATATCTGTTGTAGGTTGACAAAGATGCCGAAGACTGGGAACTGAAATTCATCGAAATTGGAACTGATGACTACGAAGACATGACTGTCTATTGTCTCGCAACCTCGAGGTAATAAATTATTCAAATTATTATTTTACAATAAAAATCAAGCCATTAAAATTTCAGTCTACGCCCAGGTTCTGGACCAACTTTTCCTTAAAAATTAACAAAATTAACTATTACAGAATCTTTGATAATTATTATACTGTAATTATATTTAATCTTCTAGCTTTGATATTGAGTCTGGGGGCTCTATCGGTGGTGATACATATTTCCTCGCTGGTGGCTACGGTCTTTTATTCATCTACATCGCAGTGATGCTAAGCAACTTCACTTTGATAGAGCATAAAGTAAGTCTAAAACAACCATGTGTAAGTGACTGTCATCAATCCTACTTTGCCAGTGATAATGGAATATCCACAATTACCCATTCTGCATATCGGATGCGATACACCGCATACATCATTTTACATATGATGTAGATGATTACAGCAATGATGCTTTTGAGGATGATGACGTCACAATGACTGGTTACGATGATGATGATGCAGCTGCTGATGATGATGATAGTGAAGCCATAATGACGGCTGACCATAATGGCGGCTATGATAATCAGTGATGATAATCATGATCGTGACAACGATGACAAGGACGACAGTAACGATTAGCCTCCGCCACTACGTACCTATGTACAGTAGTATTTCTCCATTAATCATTTTAATACTTATAAAAAATATACGTTTAAATACGCAATAAAATTACGTATTAAAATTGCTTGCTTTTATATTAGTTTTTAATTGAGAATGGAATATGTCTTGCCATCTACAACACACTATGATCCTGTATATCTATAATTTTGTCTAAATTTAAGATTTTTTTAAATATGTCACCCAAGCTCACAAACAGGCTGTAAATTCGTCCTCAGGCCAAAATGAGTTATAATGGCATAGAACATATCATTTACTTTAAAATGACAGTTAAATGCCTGAAAGCAAAGTTATGACCGTTTGAATAATTGTCATCTTATCAACTTTCTTAAATCAAGTTTTGAGAAAAATACTTTTATTTTCGGCAGGTTTCTATTCATTTTTCACTACCTCCCATCCGAAAATGGCTAAATTTTACCTCTTACAGTTAGAATTTTAAACTCAAACTTCAGGAGTAGGAAGATTAATATTTATACTTTATTTATTACTCAAAAACCCAATTCACACAAAATTCACGTTCTATGCCCTATTCTGGGTATTGAGGCTTGTTTCTCAATACAGTGCAGTGCGAGTTTACAGCCCTTTTGTGAGCTTGGGTCACATATTTGAATTGTTGATTGTTTCTATGTTCGTGTTTATGGACTTCAACACTGAGTGTATATATATATATTTTAACTATAGTAGTTTATTATTCATTTTTTTAGGTGTACATTGCACTAAGCGGCGTCACCACTGTTGGCCTAGCCGTAGTTGTATCCATTGGCTTTGGATCGTATTTGGGGCTGATCTATACACCTGTCCACTCCATCTTGCCTTTCCTTTTACTTGGTGAATATTTATTTTAATTTTGTAATCAATACCGTACATTATAGATCGTTTGCTGTGACTGCTGAAGTATATACCGTAATAGTTCAATTACAAGAAAGAAGTCTCCAAGGAAGAATGTTCTAAGGTTAATGTGCTGAATAATTGTCAGTCGAATCCAAATAATGTCAATTATCTAATTCTACATTGTAAAGAATAATGAGGATAATAATTCAGCTGAAGCAAGGCCTTTGTGCACTTAACATTTCAGCGCAATTGAATTGGTATATCTTAAGCTTTTGTTCCTAACCACAGGTTGTATTGACTGGAAGAAGAGTATTAAAAAACAATTTATGGTAGGCCTACTTAATTCATAGCATACCAATTAAATGGCATAGGCCTACGTTTAGGTTTGTGTTCATTCATGCTATTAAAACACATTACAACTCTTATCACATGTTGCTGTTATATGAATTATGCATTGAGCATGTGATCGGCTGATGTATCTACTGTATATTATAAACACTATGTAATATATTTATATTATTTAGGAATCGGTGTGGATGATATGTTTGTAATTGTGCAGGCCTGGTCAAATTTGAGCGAAGGGGAGAAAAAGAAACCCGTCCACGAACAATGTTCACTCGCTTTAAAACATGCAGTAAGTAAATAATCATAGGATGTTTTGTATATTATATCCTTCAAACCCCTAACTTATTATAGACCACTTCGTATTTCCACTGTCATGACTACATCAAACATAAACAAGTTTATTTTAATTAAAAATACAGCGTTGGCTTATCGATTAATGATGAATCTTAAAGTAGGCTATGTATACCCATGTTATAAAATTGTACTACATTGTATTAAATTTATTTTCAGGGTGTATCCATCACCGTTACATCTATAACAGACTTTAGCGCCTTCGTAATCGGAGCAACTACCATTTTACCGGCACTGCGTTCATTCTGCCTTTACTGCGGCATCGGTATCCTTTTCTTGTTCATATTCAGCATTCTGTTCTTTACAGCAACGCTTTCGTTAGATCAGCGACGAATCAACAGCAGGCGTAACGCCTGCTGCTGTTGTATTCAGTATGGAGATGACTACGAACCGTCAGAATGTGGCCAGAAGAATAGGTTCCAGAGGTTTTTTGAAGTAGTATATGCACCTTTTCTGATGAAAACTCCTGTTAAAGTAAGTTGTGTGTAAGGTTGGATTATGTCCAATAAAGTTTCTAAGAAAAAGCTAGGCCTACTCTAAATGATCGACGTGCCTGTCTCGAGTTTTGTTACCTTTTCTTGTACATCAGAAATATATTTTATTGTATGATATCAAGTGGTTTGTGCACTTGTCTATCCTGTCGATGACCCGGGTTCAATTCCCTGTAGCTATAATTGTTGCGGTTCTGCTTCTCAACCTTGAGGTCTGGGTTCAATTCCTCGCTCTGCATTTCGCTTGTGTTCTTAGGCAAGGCATTTTACTTACAGTTGTACATGTGGGTTGAAGGTTCAAACACAAAAATGGGCTGATTACAGCTGCAACATTATGGAATTCTTCCCAGGGAGCTAATTATATGTTCCATAGCCCTGTGTACTTGATCTAATGACGTGGGCTGGTGAGGTGGAGGGGGGGGGGAGGGATTTTGGTTAATAATGTGAAGTGCCTTTTTGGCACAAAGCGCTATGTATACGTCTAACATATTATTAATATTAGTAGGCCTATAGATAGATACTGTATTAATATATTGCTATTGATCATATTTCTTTATTAAGGTTGTAGTCTTGATCATCACTGCCTGTTTCCTTGGCTTTGGAATATGGGGTTTCATTGAATTAGAACAGTTTTTTGATTTCCGGTGGTTCTTGCCTGCTGACAGTTACGCAACAGAATTTATAGACGCCAGCGAACTCGTAAGTAACCATTTGAAGAAGATTATATCATTGATAATATTTATAAATTTATAAATATATTTATAAATATATATTTATATATTTAGTTGAAATCATGTTTTTAAGGGATTTTATTTTATAAATACTTTTATTGGTGGTATATGTTTTATTGTCGAATCTACTCGACGGACTGTAGTAGAACAAAGTCAATGGTAACTTATATTAAAAAACAAACTGATAACGTCGAAAAAAAAAAAAAAAAAAAAAAAATCATTGATAATATTATTTAGTTTATTGTTTTTCTTGCTGCTGTTGTTGTTGCTGTTGCTGTGGTTGTGGGACCTAAAAAAGTAACGTTTCATGTCCTTTACATCTGCAGGCTACAGATGAATTTTTTCTCATATTATCTGCAATCACTGTATCTGATAATTTCCAACAAATTTTCCTACCACAGTTAGCACTATTAAAAATCAACAGTTAGAAGAGCTTGCAAATAAAATGCAATGCATACTATAAAATTTCGATATGATTAGGAACGATTTTAGTGAAATAGGTGTTACAAAGTGGACTTTTTCAAATTTTGGGATCCCTGGAAGCTCAGACAAATTAGAATTTTAAGGGTTTTAAAATGGATTTCTCAAACCCTTAATTCTTGAATATTCTATTTAAATTTTCATTAATTTGAGTGTTTTTAGGGCCCTGAAGAAATAACGTTTTATGTCCTTTACATCTGTAGGCCTAAACAGATAAACATTTGTCATATGGATCAATCTGTAATCCCGGAGCTGATCAATTTACAACCAATTTCATACCACGGTTATTAGAAATAATGGTTAGAATATAGAATAGAATACAATGCATGCATTACACAATAATTAAAAGATCTCACAATAGAGAAGGATGCATTAAGCTGCTAAAGGGACCAATAGTTAGTCGTGGGCTTATATTCAGATGGTTATCTTCCAGGATATATACTGATAAATGACAATAATGCAACATGTAAATAAAAAATCACTAATTCATTTTATATACATAAATATAATTAAAATTCCAAGTCTGTTTTCACAGTTTTAATGAACTTGATGACGAGTAAATTCTATATTCTCATTTTTATCATAGTATTACCCACAGGGAGGTCTGTCGTCAGGAATTTACCTAAACAATATTGACATGTTTCGTGATCGTTCCACGGTAGATGCCCTCTACAACAATGTGAAAGACGAGAAATACGTTGATTCGTCATCATTTTCCAACTGGTATGAAGAGTTCGGACAGTGGATTGAGGAAAATAAAGCTAACGAACAGGAATACAACAACTTAACTATGTGGCCTGACACGGAGCAAGCATTTCAAAGCTGGGTACAGGAGTTTCTTCGTGACCCTATGGGTGGTGTTACTTATACATCCGATGTCATTATTAATGACGAATCGAACACATTTGAAATTATTGTAAGTAGAACTGTAGTTAATAATGTTACATAATGTTGTAGCCCAGGCACAGTCAATAAACTAAGGAATAACCCATAAATAAACTTACGTCTATTGGAGAATTTGACATTTTTATTTTTTTTTAATAATAAAAATATCTAATAAGAATATTTCATTCCGAAATTGTAACAAGATTAATATATCGATGTAGGTTAACGTCAGAAAAATATCATAGGAGTGTTAAGATATACAGTTATGCATGTATTTTTATTTTTATATTTGTTTCCAGACTTCTCGAATCACTTTCCAGCACGTCGTTTTCAAAGGATCAAAAGAGGAAGTTGAAGCTATGGACTCTATACAGGCGTTAGTGGACAGCTATGATTTTGAAGGGGACGGCTATGCCTTTGCTTACTCACAATTTTACCTGGATTATGAAACGAATAAGGTGTGGTACCACAAATGATCGCATCGATTTTAACGAAAGGTTCATTCTCAGAGAATTGCTTACGGTGGCAATTTAACTTGTAAAACTCTCACCATCATAGCGGCGCGGCCCGGGATCAATAGGCCTATCACAGGGGTGTGCCGGCCCCGGTCCTTCTTTTGGAAAGCAAAAAATAGAAGAAAAAAAAAAGGAAGAAAAAGCAGTTATTGATCACCTGAAACGCTTCAGAAAATAAAAATTTCCTGGGGGCATGCCGGACCCCTAGGGTAATTTATTTTTCGATCGCCCACCCACTCCCTCTGGACATCTCTGGATCCACCCCTGCATATGACCTTAATAGTGAGAGGTCGCAGGTTCAATTAAATTCAGTTATTTGCTTAGTGAAGTTATTGCATTTCATTCTTAGGCCTATAGTATAATCATTTTTTCACAACTACTGTATGCATACTCTATTATGTTTTTTTAAAATTTAAAAAAAAAAATTTTGTTAATTTTTATTAAATAAAAAAAATTTTTTCTTGAAGGTAATTCAAGATGAATTATACCGGAATATGGGGCTCGCCTGCCTGTGTGTGTTTGTTGTCATTTTGCTGCTGCTTGCCAATTTACAAGCTTGCTGTCTCGTGTTTCTATCGGTCTTTCTTACTCTGGTAAGTACTACTAGACCTCAACCTTGTAGGGCTTCTTAAGACCTGTGCTCGAATACCACCGTTTATACTGTATGCGCTCAATAGGGCGTTTTCGATGCACGACGTTAACCTTAACTTTAACGGATGACGTCATAATTTATTCATCTTGCATTGCGGAGTACGTTAATTTCAGGATTTTACATGCTCGACATGCGTTAGTTACGGGTTTGCGTATGCGTATTTCGATTTATTTACAAAAGTGGCGGAGCTATCGCGCTGCATGTTGGGTACTAACGTTAAAGTTAAGGTTAACGTTTTGCATTGAAAACTCCCTAATAATAATTAAAGATTGTCTTTACAGTACTATTTTTATTATAAGTGATTATTCCAGTATTATTACAATATTATTATATTTATTACAGTATTATTTTTTAAAATAAATATTTTATTGTTTTATTATTATAATTATTATCACATGTTGTTCGTTGTAGATTGATCTTGCTGGATTTATTCATCACTGGGGACTTACTATCGATACGGTAGTCACCATCCAACTCATATTGTCGATTGGTATCGCTGTTGATTATGCCGCTCACATTGGTCACACGTTCCTAACTGTAACAGGAACGAAAAATGGTAAGTAATCGGTACAGAGACAGGCAGAAAATGGATCAGGAGTATAGTAGAATAATCTTCCCTAGCCAACGGAGTCATTAATGTACAGTGCACCCTCCAATCCGAGACCACTCTAATTCGAGACCACTTTTCCAAAGACCCAAATAACAATCTTTAACATTTTAACACAAAGCTAGCCCTCTAATTGGAGACAAACAACGAGACCACTCCAAGTTTTCAGGTCTCAAGGGTGGTATCGAATTGGAAGGCGAACTGTAGGCCTATTGTATAATAATGCGATCTTTTGCGTAACAGTATTATGATATTTCCATCTATTTGAATGATAGCCTGATATTTTTTGTAATTCTGTCGTGTTTTATCTTCTTGGACAGAACGTGCTCGAAAAGCGATAACGGACATTGGGCCTGCTGTCTTCAACGGTGGATTTAGTACACTATTAGCTTTCGTTTTGTTATCACTATCAAGTTCTTATATATTTAGAACATTTTTTAAGGTAAGCTATTGTAATACAAATCAAAAACAACAAAATTAGGTTCGCATCATGTTCACGGCTGGTTTACTCACCGAAAAATAAGCGGCCCAAACTATTTATTTCCTATAAATTAATAACCTGATGAAGTAATATAAAAAATGTTGTCTACCCATAATCTTTAAGATTTTAGGTTTAAGGCCAGGGATATGCTAATAGTGCGCTATAAGTACAGAAACACAATGGAATATATAGGCCTACAGTGGAATACCGATCTGATAGGAACAAGCCCTATGAGGATGCTTTAGCATCCTCTCAGGAGCAGATCCAGATATGTCCGAAAGGGGGCTGAAAGTGTGGCAGAAAGTGGGGCAGAAAGTGGACACCAGAAAATAACCTTTGAAACATTTTGGGTGATCCATATTTTTCTTTTTCTTTTCTTCTTTCTTTCTTTCCCCCTTTTTTCACTTTTAAAAGGGGGTCTGGGGCCGGCCCGCAGCCTAACTTCACCTCTGCCTCCCTGGTCCCTGAAACTATGATGATATCCTGGCAGTGGCTTGTTGATGATGGCTGATTCTGTCTGCAAGCTACCAACTGACTTCGAGATTTTGACGACTCCGCCCTCTCGAGTATAAGCTTACAGTTTATCTTTTTCTTTCCTGTTTTACGTTTTCCCTTATGAAACAAAATATTACTTACGGAATCTTAAAAAATAATTAAAAAAATTAACAAAAAACACCAAGGTACAGCTCCAACCTTTGCTCATTAACTCTTTTTATTCCCATTCCCAGATATTTTTCCTGGTTGTTTTATTCGGTTTGTTCCATGGCCTAGTTTTGCTTCCAGTCCTACTCAGCTGGATTGGTCCTGCTCCATATGCATCGGCGGTTCAAGTTGATGCTGCAATCTCCACTCAGAATGGCTCTGTAAAGAGTAACTCAAGTAAAGACCAAAGTAACAACGCCACCAACGGAACAATCGTCAACTCAGGGTCGCCCTCAGAGAAAGCCAACTTCGATAACCCAGCATATGATGGCGAGGTTGCCAGTGTACCACTTAGTGCTGAAGAAAAGTTACAAATGAAGGATGTAGTTTAAATATAATATCTTATTATTTTTAAATTTATGGTAAATTTCATAATTTAACAATTATATTATTACTTATTTTGTACATTTAATTACATAGATTGATAAACATACATTCCATTGAGTTTTGGTTAAGAGGCCGTAAATATTTTATGTAACATTAAATTATATTATAATATTTAAATTTTTTATAATAGGCCTACCTGGACCTTTTCGCTAATGTGACGGCTAGAAATGATACAGCGCATTCTGCGAAGGGTGGAGTGGATAGAAGGAGGCAGAGGTGGCGTGAGAGGAATAAAGATGGATGACGAGAATGTAGCAGCACGTTTTGTATATATATATATATATAATGCTGACGCTGACGGTGGACAACCTCAGGCAAATATTGGTGCAATCCAATATACATCAGCAGTTACCGTAATTGTAGTACATGATGTAATGTTAGGCTCATATGCATTTGTTTGGTATCGTCATAATTACGTGTACAAGGTGGAAGATGTAGGCCTACTAGGCCTACATCTTCCACCTTGTACAAACCAATAACCAAATTAGGTACGGTACATTATCGGACATGCCATAATCAGAATAAAACAAAGTATAAAGATAAAAAATGGCAGATAAATGAACTACAGTAATAATATTGACTAATAAACGCGTATAAGTGTTAGCACCAATGCCGATAAACGATTAGCAATTATTTTTCAGCTTTTCAAGTCTACAATTAATTCAATTTTCAATTTAGACTAGGAAAAAAAATCAAAAAAGAGGCCTAGAAATCAAGTTAGGGCGAGTGGAATGTTAGAAGCAGTCAATATAGCCAGATATCCTAATTAATCCGTCCTGGTCACCCTAAGCCCTGTTGACACTTGATTTTTCACCTGGTATACAAATGGCAACCATTTTTCAAAATGGCCGCCAAATTTATCTAAAATGTGCATATAATTGGAACTAAATACCGTAAGCTACAGATATGATGTTGGTGTCTAAAATCATAATTTCTATACAGGCAACAAACCCAACATATAAAAACTACTGTCACTCAAGCCAGAATGGAACATATTTAAAAAATATGTGTTTATTTGTTTTAAAATATCAGCAAAATATACTTAAAATGTGTATAAAATAAGAATAAGTATATAAACTCACCAAAAAGTAGTCGTGTTTGGTATCGTTGGAAAGCTCTTCCGATGCTGAATAATGTATTGCAGTTTATATATCAGAAATGGTGTAGTGTTTCATGTATTGTCCCATAAAGTCAAATTATGGCATATCATATTAAACTAAGCAGGACCCATTTGCGTAACTCGTGAGCTCTCGGATGGCGCGGGG